TAGAACTTCTTTTGTCAGCAACCCTATCGTAATTCCAACCTTATCGCAACGCCCTAAGTGACGTACGTCACAATATATAATCGTCATGGTCGAAGATTGGTGCCGTTCTACAGTTAAGAGTGAGTGAGTGCGTGAGTATGTTTTACGCCGCCTGTAGCAATAATTCAGCAATATCACGTCGGGGGACACCAGAAAAAGGCTTCACACATTGTACCAATGTGGGGAATCGAACCCGGGGCCCATTCGTGACGAGCGAAGGCTTTAATCACTTGTCTCTCCGACTGCCCCGCTAGATGTTGTGGTTTTCTAAGGCAGCGAGCGTGATCATGACCTCTCACGACAGGAAATACAAGAATTCCGATCCTCGTTTCATGAAATCAGTTTGACTCAAATGATGGCAAGATAGTTTCTTTTAAGGTATCGAATTTAAAGAAATTTTACTTTGTAGGTATATCAACAGAAAGAGTGACGTCATCTACTACGCGCATCCATCTACTACTAAGATTACCATATGATAAGGGATTATGTTTTTAATATTTGTGTAGTCTGTTATCTTTTTGTAGCATGTCTACAATGGTGGTGACCCTTGAAGATCCAGGTTAGAATCGGTCTTCAGCAACCCATCCTTGTCCCATGCGACTAACGGGATCGGGGGACTCGATGACTTGGTTGACACATGTATCGTATTCGAATTGCGTAGATCGATTCTCATGCTGTTGATCCAGACTCAGTTATTTACAGACCGCCCCATACAGCTGGAATACTCACTTCGGGACTTGTGTGTTTGCAGACATCGTAGACCAAATGAACATGTCAAATGCTGACTAGTCTAGTGACTGTCGAGACCATGCAAATGACCACTCTCACTGTTGCAGGTAAATCCCCCCTACTTTATCCCGCTGGTGGAGCTTATCCCAGCCCCTTGGACGTCCCCGGATGTGACACTGAGGACCCGGGCTCTCATGGAGGAAGTGGGACAGTCGCCCGTTACCCTCAACAAGGAGGTCCCAGGATTTGCCCTCAACCGCATCCAATATGCCATCATCAACGAATGTTGGGACATGGTCAAAGTAAGGCACCTGATGTGGTCTAATTTGATCTATTATGTCACCAATATAGGACATAGTCAGGAAAAGGCATCGGATGTGGTCTCCAATTTTATCTAGTATGTCACTAGTATATGACATAGTTATAGGGAAAGATATTTGATGGCGTCTCCAATTTGATTAAGTATGTCATCAGTATGAACAAGTATAGACTTGGTCAAGGTCGAAATAAGGGATATTGTGTGTTCTGAGTTTGTATGCCATACATGGTAAAAGCTAAGAATCTGTGTGCCCCAAATATGTGAAATATGGTATCAGTATAGAATGAGCCATGCTCTCAAATTTGACCAAGTGTGTCATCAACATAGGCCAGACAGGGTAAAGGGCCTGATGGCATCGCCAGTTTGATCAAGTGTGTCATCAACATAGGTCAGACAGGGTAAAGGGTCTGATGGCATCGCCAGTTTGATCAAGTGTGTCATCAGCATAGGTCAGACAGGGTAAAGAGCCTGATGTCATCGCCAGTTTGATCAAGTGTGTCATCAACATAGGTCAGACAGGGTAAAGGGTCTGATGCCATCGCCAATTTGATCAAGTATATCATCAACATAGGTCAGACAGGGTAAAGGGTCTGATGTCATCGCCAGTTTGATCAAGTGTGTCATCAACATAGGTCAGACAGGGTAAAGGGTCTGATGGCATCGCCAATTTGATCAAGTATATCATCAACATAGGTCAGACAGGGTAAAGGGTCTGATGCCATCACCAGTTTGATCAAGTGTGTCATCAGCATAGGTCAGACAGGGTAAAGAGCCTGATGTCATCGCCAGTTTGATCAAGTGTGTCATCAACATAGGTCAGACAGGGTAAAGGGTCTGATGCCATCGCCAATTTGATCAAGTATATCATCAACATAGGTCAGACAGGGTAAAGGGCCTGATGTCATCGCCAGTTTGATCAAGTGTGTCATCAACATAGGCCAGACAGGGTAAAGGGTCTGATGGCATCGCCAGTTTGATCAAGTGTGTCATCAACATAGATCAGACAGGGGAAAGGGCCTGATGTCATCGCCAATTTGATCAAGTGTGTCATCAGCATAGGTCAGACAGGGTAAAGGGTCTGATGCCATCGCCAATTTGATCAAGTGTGTCATCAGCATAGGTCAGACAGGGTAAAGGGTCTGATGCCATCGCCAATTTGATCAAGTGTGTCATCAACATAGGTCAGACAGGGTAAAGGGTCTGATGCCATCGCCAATTTGATCAAGTGTGTCAGCATAGGTCAGACAGGGTAAAGGGCCTGATGGCATCGCCAATTTGATCAAGTGTGTCATCAGCATAGGTCAGACAGGGTAAAGGGCCTGATGGCATCGCCAATTTGATCAAGTGTGTCATCAACATAGGTCAGACAGGGTAAAGGGCCTGATTGCATCGCCAATTTGATCAAGTGTGTCAGCATAGGTCAGACAGGGTAAAGGGCCTGGCCTTTGATCTAGTGTGTCATGGTCAGACAGGGTAAAGGGCCATCTCCAATTTGATCAAGTGTGTCATCAGCATAGGTCAGACAGGGTAAAGGGACTGATGGCATCGCCAATTTGATCAAGTGTGTCATCAACATAGGTCAGACAGGGTAAAGGGCCTGATGCCATCGCCAATTTGATCAAGTGTGTCATCAACATAGGTCAGACAGGGTAAAGGGCCTGATGTCATCGCCAATTTGATCAAATCATAGGTGTAAAGGCCATCAACATAGGTCAGACAGGGTAAAGCCTGATGGCATCGCCAATTCGATCAAGTGTGATGGCATCAGCGATAGGTCAGATAGGTCAGACAGGGTAAAGGGCCTGATGTCATCGCCAATTTGATCAAGTGTGTCATCAACATAGGTCAGACAGGGTAAAGGGCCTGATGGCATCGCCAATTTGATCAAGTGTGTCAGCATAGGTCAGACAGGGTAAAGGGCCTGATGGCATCGCCATCAAGTGTGTCATCAACATAGGCCAGACAGGGTAAAGGGCCTGATGTCATCGCCAATTTGATCAAGTGTGTCATCAGCATAGGTCAGACAGGGTAAAGGGACTGATGGCATCGCCAATTTGATCAAGTATGTCATCAGTATAGGTCAGACAGGGTAAAGGGTCCTGATGCCATCGCCAATTTGATCAAGTGTGTCAGCATAGGTCAGACAGGGTAAAGGGCCTGATGCCATCGCCAATTTGATCAAGTGTGTCATCAACATAGGTCAGACAGGGTAAAGGGCCTGATGCCATCGCCAATTTGATCAAGTGTGTCAGCATAGGTCAGACAGGGTAAAGGGCCTGATGTCATCGCCAATTTGATCAAGTGTGTCATCAACATAGGTCAGACAGGGTAAAGGGCCTGATGGCATCGCCAATTCGATCAAGTGTGTCAGCATAGGTCAGACAGGGTAAAGGGCCTGATGGCATTGCCAATTTGATCAAGTGTGTCATCAACATAGGCCAGACAGGGTAAAGGGCCTGATGTCATCGCCAATTTGATCAAGTGTGTCATCAGCATAGGCCAGACAGGGTAAAGGGCCTGATGTCATCGCCAATTTGATCAAGTGTGTCATCAACATAGGTCAGACAGGGTAAAGGGCCTGATGCCATCGCCAATTTGATCAAGTATGTCATCAGCATAGGTCAGACAGGGTAAAGGGTCTGATGCCATTCCAATTTGATCAAATTTGCCATAGGTCATCGTGGGACAGAGATCAAGAAAGAATCTGATGTGGTCCCAAATATTTCATCAGTATGGGACATAGTGAAGGGTCAAAGATATATGAGAACCCTGAATATCACTGCAAAGATTCTGTTTCCTTCCAGTCCTGGGGTCCTGAGTCCAAGTGACATAGACAGAGTCATGTATGATGGCCTGGGGCCCCGCTATGCCTTCATCGGACCCCTGGAGACAATGCACCTCAATGCTGATGGTAAGCACTTTCACCAGAGTTTACTGAAAAAGTCAACCTAGTTTCATGTCTTTTACCTCAGAAGTGAGGGGTTGCTTATAGAACTTTGTTATTATTTTAATGCCAGCATTTTTATTTTAATTCCTGTTAGTGTCACTTGTCGGTTGTCACCGTTAGTCATTGCGCATTGGAGAAGGGGAACTAGTCTACCTGTGACGTGTACCTGTCTGTATTGATAATTGTCTGTGTTGTACGGCTGTCCATTGTGTGTGTGTCTGTCTACGAGACAATATTGCCGTGTGTCTGAGAGCAACGTTGAAAGTTCGGGTCACTGTTCCACTGTTTACGGATATGTACTAAGCTAGTCTATTCTATTGTGTAAAGAGGAACACATGTCGAGGTTTCGGCAGCACTAGCGGGTGCATCTCTTTAACAAAGAAATCCACAAGGTCAGATATATATACAAGAGGGGGAGGGTGTGAATTCAAATACACCTCATGTCAAAAGATTCAAATCCACTTGATGTCCCAAGATGATAATATGTATTACTCACAAATAAATATTTGATCACCTTTCAATGTGTGGCTTGATGTTTACAAGTCGTCTGAAGTGGCACAGCAGTTAACAGGTTGTATATTGGACCAGCTTAGATACAGCTACAAAGTTCGGCCATCACGCCGAACGTCCGAGTTCGACTCTATATACGGTTCAACAAGTGGAATCCTCTATTAGTAACTGGGGCGGTGGGGCAGCCTAGTGGATAAAGCGTTCGCTCGCCACGCCGAAGACTCGGGTTCGATTCCCCACATGGGTACAATGTGTGAAGCCCATTTCTCGTATCCTCCGCCGTGATATTGCTGGAATATTGCTAAAAGCGGCGTAAAACCATACTCACTCACTCTATTAGTAACCCTGTCATTTATTGGCTGGAATAACACATTCTTCAACACTGATATTGCTGTAATCAGGAATAAACACTAAAACCTTTTCTATCATCTATAATAAATATAATATACACCCTGGTTAGTTTCGTATTTATCTAGAACTGATGCACCCCACAAAGCGATCTAATGGACATATCCTCAAGAAACTAGTGTATGTCCCAAAGCGTTGTGGCTGTCACGAACTTCATAACGTGATACGCAGGTACTCATAAATTAAACACATGCATAGTTTCTCAAATCCATACATCTGAAGACAGCATCAGTTCCTAGACCATGTTGCTACTATTTCTCGCTCAAGTCCCTCTTCAGTTTGGCCAAGCCAAGAAGTCTCCTATCCCGCCATTGTCGTCTGCTGTCCAGCTCTGACACTGGACCCGCCACTTGCTCCATTCCTGACTGAACGCGTTCCATCGTGTCACCGTCCATCAGTTCCGGGTCACCGGCTGACCTTTGAACTCGATAGATCATGTCCCGGTAACGGTCACAGTAGCTTACAAAACCTGAAAAGTAAAACGGACATCAGTTGTCTGGAGGCTGGAGATCAGATTGGGAGATTGATGACGATGTTTACATTTAAAGTCACGGTTAAGATGCTGCTTTTAGCAATATTCCAGCAATATCACGGCGAGGGACACGAATCGAACCCGGGTCTTCAGCGTGACGAGCGGACGCTTCAACCATTAGGCTACCCCACCGCCCAGATTGATGACGATGTTTACATTTAAAGTCACGCATTTTTATGAGTGAGTGTGATTTTACGCCGCTTTTAGCAATATTCCAGCAATATCATGGCGGGGGTCACCAGAAATGGGCTTCACACATTGTACCCACGTAAGGAATCGAACCCGTGACGAGCGGACGCTTTAACCAGTAGTACACCCCACCGCTCCCTATTTCATTTTTGGATGAAGGTATTGCCATGGCATAACAACATCCCTATGAAACGCACACACACGCGTACGCACTCACATTCACAACTCACGTCACTCACATTATGTACGTTTTGTTTGTTGTTTAACGCCACACCTTATGGCGGCGGTCTGTAAATAGTCGAGCCTGGACCAGACAATCCTCTAGTCATTAGCAGCATGAGCATTGATCTACGTAACTGGGATACGATGACATGCGTCAACCAAATCAGCAAGCCTGACCACCTGATCCCGTTAGTTGCCTAATACGACAAACATGGGTTGCTGAAGACCAATTCTAACCCGGCTCTTCAGGTGTCCGTATATGTACGTACCATCTGCGTTAAGATACGCTGTTTCGAAGGGTCCAACAAAGGCGTATCTCACACCGAGACCGGACGACATGACGCGGTCCAAGTCAGCCACGCTCACAATACCATCCTGTTGAACACACAAAAACATTAACCATAGCCTTTTTACCAAGCTGTCCGATAGGCCACACAAAACATTGATAGGCCACACCATAACATTGATAGGCCACACAAAGCATTGACCTATAAATATCTCACCATTCCATCCTGTTGAAGGCACAGTACAGTAAACTATCGCAAAGGGAATCTCACCATCAGCTGTAGGGCACGCAAAACATTACCCCACTATGGCGTCTTGTATGATAAACAAAACATTAACCTATAATTGAGTGAGTGAGTGAGTCTGGTTTTACGCCACTTTTAGCAATATCCCAGCAATGTCACGGCGGGGGACACCAGAAAAGGGCTTCACACATTGTACCCATGTTGGGATTAACCTATAAGAGCCTCACGATGCCATCCTGTTGCAGGCTATGGACAAAAAGCTATTGCAAAAGAAATCTGACCCCTCTGTAGGGCACACAAAACATTACCCCATGGCATTATCACTATGGCTTCCGGTATGATAAACAAAACATTTATTAACCCATAACAACCCTCCATTCATCTTGTAAGACAAGACAGTTTTAACCTTCATAATCTCGCCATGCCATCCAGTAGGATAGACACATCGAAAACTTCCTTATAATCTGTTAGTGTTAATTCATACATAAATCAGAAGTCAATGCTTTACCCGACAACTGCAGTTTTGTTAGAAATTTGTAACGTTTTCAAAGACATCGTTTTACTTCTTGGAGAACGTGTTTCACTGGTACATCATCATTTGCCACGAACACGTTACATCATTAAGTCACCGTGTACGTTCAAGATATCCTGGAGTACAATATGGTCCACCTGAATTATGTCTGTATGTTCATTCATGTATATGGAATTGTATGGCATGTTCCGCTAGGAACTCGATTTGACTTGTGCTCTTCTTGACTTCTGCCATTTGTGTTGTCGCATGTATAACACTGACATTTCGTGTCTATGAAAAATGTGAAGCTTTGTCAGTATAATGCTTAACGACCGGCCGTATGATATTTCTTGGGATTGCCTCGGAGTTTTGTAAATAAATAGAAGGGAAACAATTTGAAGGATATACACTAACAATATATAAATAAAACATATAAAACAACTAAACATGTCCAGCATCACCTACGAAGAAAAACAACAACATTGTATGGCTCGTCTCAGTGACTGAAACAGTATCGTGTCCAGAACAAAACAATGGTGCCGAAATATGTTTATCCTGTTGCTAAAATGTCTTTGGGGTGTAATTTTGCCATTGTGACGATATATCTACGCCATCGCCATATGTTGTGTAAGGTAACATGTTTATCCTTTCTCCAAAATGTCCATTCTCACGAATTTACCCTATTGTTAACATCTCCATGTTGATGCCATATGTTTACCCTATTGTTACCATCTTCACGTTTACGCCTTGTGTTTCCCCTATTGTTAACATTTGCATGTTTATGTCATATGTTTACCCTATTGTTACCATCTTCATGTTTACGCCTTGTGTTTCCCCTATTGTTAACATTTCCATGTTTATGTCATATGTTTACCCTATTGTTAACATCTTCATGTTTACGCCATGTGTTTCCCCTATTTTTAACATTTCCATGTTTATGCCATATGTTTACCCTATTGTTAACATCTTCATGTTTACGCCTTGTGTTTCCCCTATTGTTACCATCTTCATGTTTACGCCTTGTGTTTCCCCTATTGTTAACATTTGCATGTTTATGCCATATGTTTACCCTATTGTTACCATCTTCATGTTTACGCCTTGTGTTTCCCCTATTGTTAACATTTCCATGTTTATGTCATATGTTTACCCTATTGTTAACATCTTCATGTTTACGCCATGTGTTTCCCCTATTTTTAACATTTCCATGTTTATGCCATATGTTTACCCTATTGTTAACATCTTCATGTTTACGCCATGTGTTTCCCCTATTGTTAACATTTCCATGTTTATGCCATATGTTTACCCTATTGTTAACATCTTCATGTTTACGCCTTGTGTTTCCCCTATTGTTAACATTTCCATGTTTATGCCATATGTGTTTCCCCTATTGTTAACATCTTCATGTTTACGCCATGTGTTTCCCTATTGTTAACATTTCCATGTTTATGCCATCTGTTTTACCCATGTATTTCCCCTATTGTTAACATCTCCATGTTTACGCCATGTGTTTCCCCTATTGTTAACATCTCCATGTTTATGCCATGTGTTTCCCCTATTGTTAACATCTTCATGTTTACGCCATGTGTTTCCCCTATTGTTAACATCTCCATGTTTACGTCATGTATTTCCCCTATTGTTAACATCTGATGTTTTACGCCATGTGTTTCCCCCTATTGTTAACATCTCCATGTTTATGCCATGTATTTCCCCTGTTGTTAACATCTCCCATGTGTTTCCCCAGTTGTTAACATCTCCATGTTTATGCCATGTGTTTCCCCTATTGTTAACATCTCCATGTTTACGCCATGTGTTTCCCCCATTGTTAACATTGTTAACATCTCCATGTTTATGCCATGTGTTTCCCCTATTGTTAACATCTCCATGTTTACGCCATGTATTTCCCCTGTTGTTAACATCTCCATGTTTATGCCATGTGTTTCCCCTATTGTTAACATCTCCATGTTTACGCCATGTGTTTCCCCTATTGTTAACATCTCCATGTTTACGCCATGTGTTTCCCCTATTGTTAACATCTCCATGTTTACGTCATGTTTTCCCATCTGTTGTTAACATCATGTTTGCGTTGACATGTATTTCCCCTATTGTTAACATCTCCATGTTTATGCCATGTGTTTCCCCTTGTTAACATCTCCATGTTTTACGCCATGTGTTTCCCCCTATTGTTAACATCTCCATGTTTACGTATGTGTTTCCCCTTTGTTAACATCTCCATGTTTACGTCATGTATTTCCCCTGTTGTTAACATCATGATGTTTCGCCATGTATTTCCCCTATTGTTAACATCTCCATGTTTTACGTGCCATGTGTTTCCCCTATTGTTAACATCTCCATGTTTACGCCATGTGTTTCCCCTATTGTTAACATCTCCATGTTTATGCCATGTGTTTCCCCTATTGTTAACATCTCCATGTTTACGCCATGTGTTTCCCCTATTGTTAACATCTCCATGTTTACGCCATATGTTTCCCCTATTGTTAACATCATGATGTTTTACGATGTTTACATGTATTTCCCCTATTGTTAACATCTCCATGTTTATGCCATGTGTTTCCCCCCTATTGTTAACATCTCCATGTTTACGCCATGTGTTTCCCTATTGTTAACATCTCCATGTTTATGCCATGTGTTTCCCCTATTGTTAACATCTCCATGTTGACGCCATGTGTTTCCCCTATTGTTAACATCTCCATGTTGACGCCATGTGTTTCCCCTATTGTTAACATCTCCATGTTTACGCCATGTGTTTCCCCTATTGTTAACATCTCCATGTTGACGCCATGTGTTTCCCCTATTGTTAACATCTCCATGTTTATGCCATGTGTTTCCCCTATTGTTAACATCTCCATGTTTACGCCATGTATTTCCCCAATTGTTAACATCTCCATGTTTATGCCATGTGTTTCCCCTATTGTTATCATCTTCATGTTTACACAATGTGTTTCCCCTATTGTTATCATCTTCATGTTTACACAATGTGTTTCCCCTATTGTTAACATCATCATGTTTACACAATGTGTTTCCCCTATTGTTAACATCTCCATGGCGACGAATGTGCGTAGCTTGGTGCTTACATTTCTATGGTGTAGAATATGTTATCTAGTGCTAAGAATAAGATGATAAGTAAGTTGACGTCGTGACTTACCCTGATAAGACGCCAACCTTCTCCCATGATAGCGTACTGGATACGGTTGAGAACGAAGCCGTCAATCTCCCGGTTAAGAACGATGGGGTCCTGTCCAATGCAGTCCATCAACGTCCTCGTCGTTGGCACGACGTCCTCGGCAGTCCAAGGGGCGGGGATGAGTTCCACCAGTGGGGCGTAGAAAGGTGGGTTGGTCTGCAGGGAACAAAATCTTGTAGAAAAAGATACATCCCAAGTGACTCTTAAAACAATTAATACGTTTAACGATTATTATTTACCTGATCTGATTTGATGAGGCGGGCAGATCCTGCTTTGAAATTTGAGTGTTGCGCTGCACCCAGCAAACTGACTACTATTTGTAAAATAGTCGAATCTGGACCATGCAGACATCATGAACATCGATCTACGCAATTGGGATACGATGACGTGTCAACCAAGTCAGCGGGTCTTACCACCGTTAAAACATGTTTACTTGGTTCAATGTATTGATGTGTTTCTTGGTAAATGTCTTGAACTTGTTAAATAGTAGTAATACGAACAAATCTGTTGACTGGTTTGAATAAAGTGAGAAGCGTTACAATGAACATACTAATAACAAAGTGGCTTGCGTAGAAAATGTTTGCGTATTGGGTGAAATACACAGAACATATATCAGCACGTTGCTTGTATATTTGAGTGGGAAGTATTGTAAATGGGTGGGTCAGGTTTATAACATACCGGGTGGACGACGATGAACCTTGATCTGTTAGATAGTTTCTCGGAGATCAGTGATGGTAGCAAGGCGCTGGAAGAGCTCGCCAGGATTACATCACCCGACACCTGGCTGTCTAACTCTGCCCATACTTGCTGTTTGAGCTCAAGCCGCTCAGGGACACATTCCTGTGACAATGGAGGTACATGACACATATCAGTTGTCCCTACCTTATATCTCTTTGGGTCCCTAAACATTCCATGAGAAGCCATATATCTTTGTCTTTGACCATTTGACCTGAGGGTGTCACATATCAGTTCTCCTATACGCTCCACACACACACACACACGCACGCACGCACGCACGCACGCACGCACACACGCACGCACGCACACATCCGTGAACATTTTCCGTAAGACCACATAGGCGGATCCAGAATTTTTCAACCCCTGAGGAGGGGCACCTTGGCTCCGCCATTGCAAAACATAAACTTCAATGTGGTCTTTAGTCATTTTCAAAGGGGTTCGGTGAACACACACACAACACACACACACACACACACACACACACACACACACACACACACACACACACACCACACACACACGACACACACACACACACACTGGATCACGCCACCTTGTCCTTGGGCAAACATAAACTACCGTGCAAAAGACAATTTTTACATATTTGATGGTAGCTGCACGAACGAAACAATTATTCGAAGGTGACGTATTTGTTGTGGTAGTTATGTTTTCACCTTTAATTTACAGGCTACTAATGTTTTGATAAACGTTCTCTTTTTTGGAAAAGGTTTCGTATTAAATTTCTTTGTCAAATCCAGTTTATAAGTACTTTCTTTTCCCCGGCTGTTTATATAAGATACTCTCAATCAAAGATTACACGAAACGAACGTTTATATCAGTCGCAAGGTAACTTTACTTGAATGGCACATCACAACTGTCCCGGGTCTTGTTTCACAAAGCGATCTTAGCGCTACGACTATCGTAACTCTATGTTAAAGTATATGGGAGAGCCGTAAAAGTATGGGGGCTACGATAGTCGTAGCGCTATGATAGCTTGGAGTAGCCTGAGGCAGACGTTGATGGTATTCTCCCATTTACCTGGATGTAGAAGGCGCCCTGAAGACAGTCTTTGACGGAACCCACGGGGGAGATGCGGTCCAGCTGCTGCTGAGCACTAAGAGTACCCCGGGGCAGCCCCTCCTCCTGAAGCTTCTCCAGCTGGACCCGGATGTCGTCCAGGGCCCGGGACACCTGCTCCGGGTCCACGTCATACAGGCTCACCTTGTAGCCTGCACAGGCGAACAGCATACACCAACTCCGTCCAATCAGGCCACTGTGAACGTGAGTGAGTGAGTTGGTTTTACGCCGCTTTTAGCAATAATCCAGCAATATTACGGCGGGAGACACCAGAAATGGGCTTCACACATTGTACCCACGTGGGCTGTGAACGCGAGGCGAACTGCCTATACCAAACCCGCAAGGCAGTCATCCTTGATTATTGAGTACATTCTACTCCATCCTGTTGTATCTGGTAATGTGATCCCAAGACTTACATATCGCTCAGCAACATCAGATGTGTCCGTTTAAAAACACGACACAGATATGAGCCAAAAGCCTTGGAATGAGTAGTATCACCTGCACTTGACACGGTGCCTGTATGTATGATTGTGGTATTTGGAGACAGATGGCAGTTGTGGTTTACACAGTCACTAAAGTTCCTAATTGTTTTGTTTTGTTAAAATACACCCATTAAAGTGATTGTGCGTAATACATGCAGACTGTTGAGGATTTGGGGCTCTGAACCTTTCAGCCACCCCATGCACAATTAAATATGGAATGCATGAGGCGGTTTAACTGTTCATTAATTCCACTTGAACAGTGCCTGAACCCTTGTACAAAAGGTCCCGGAAGTTCCATGGGCTCATACAATCGTCAAAACTTCAGAAAACCATACAGACGTTCCAAATATTCCGCAATTTCTTAAGCCTCCATAACAGGCATTCTCCAGTACTGGCCTAACAGTACAACCCTGCCCCATGACAACCCTCTGTCAAAATATGCGGGTCACCCTGTAGCATACAGGTTTGGTTGGTTGTTCTTTAACGCCGACCCCAGCAATATTCCAGCTTTATGGCGGCGGTCTGTAAATAACCGAGTATTGATCAGACAATCGTCAGGTGATCAACATCATGAGCATATGTCTGCGCAACTGGGATCCAAAGCGAGACAGCAACCCTGGTTGGTTGGTTGGTTTGGCCGCGTTCAGCAATATTCCAGCTATTTGGCGGCGGTCTATACATAATCGTGTCTGGACCAGACAATCCTGTGATCAACATAATGACCATCGTTCTACGCAATTGGGATACGATGACATGTGTCAACCATGTCAGCGAATCTGACTACGCGATCCCGTTAGTCGCCTCTTATGACAAGCATGGGTTGCTGACGACCAATTCTAACCCGGATCTCCACGGGTTGTAGTATACAGAAGGCTGGTTTACAATACCACTACACGGTATCCACTACTAAACATATACTGAACAATGGACTTAACAAGTTGGCGGTATTGTTGCTTTAAAGAGGGAATGTGTCCCAAGGACCCTTCAAGTTGCTTGTCACGAGAGATGGTATCTCAAGCACATCTACTGACAGCAAAACACTTACAGTCAGTTTGATTTCATTTGAGACCGAAGAATTGCTCACTAACACAAAACCTAATAAAATCAAATTTTGCACAGTCACATGAAATCGACAGACCAACTCTGATGATTTGTCTCATAATTTTGGACACCCGAATAAACATGTTGTTTAACATACGATCATTATTTTGTTGTCACTTTTCGCTATATTTAACGAGTTGGTCTGTCGGTTTCATGTGACTGTGCAAAATTTGGTTTGGTTGTAATTATTAGATTTTGTGTTAGTGAGCAATTCATCGGTCTCAAATGGAGACAAACGGACTATAGTATCAGATAAAACAGATTGTAGCGAGAGAATGTGCCGCATGTAGCCCTGTCTGTCACCAATGAATATAACCCTCCGCAAAGAGTTGCATTGTCATAATTCAAACCCTGAACCATTCATTTGGTCATTCAAATAAGTGTTCATCATTAGACGGAGCGGTGGGGTAGCCTAGTGGTTAAAGCGTTGGCTCGTCATGCCGAAGACCCGGGTTCGAATCCCCACATTGGTACAATGTGTGAAGCCCATTTCTGGTGTCCCCCGCCGTGTTGTTGCTGGAATATTGCTAAAACCGGCGTAAAACCAAACTCGGTCAGTCATCATTAGACTCTTAGTCATTCATTCAGATGTACGTTCATCAATACAACCACCAAACCATTCACTGAGTTAAGTAGTGTTGATATGATTAAAAACTCACGATGCGTGAGCGGTGATAATGCACAATATGCAGCTTAGATACGATCACCTGAAGTCGATCTAGGTTATCTGTGTTGGTGTACTTGGAGGACGGACCAAGTAAACACACAACGTGGAGTAATCTATATAGCCATTCATGCATCCATATTTCAACGATCTACAATGTACTAAAATGTTCCATCAGCAAAACAGCCAGGGGTAGAACTCGCCTACCTCCAACTTCCAAATTGTGTGTTTTATTCACAGCGTTTTAATCGCGTTTGGCTACACATCAAAATAGTATGCATATGAAATGTTCAAGGGGGATTTCAGGAACAGAAATCATCACCCAAACGCAACTTAGGCTGTTTTACTAGCCAGCTCTCAACAGAAGAACTCATTAGCATATAGGACATCTTGGCCGCAGCATCTGTAACAACGTATAATAATTTGTACCTACTAATTTATACATGTATTTGTACCCAGCTGTTGTATTTGTATTTTATTGAATACCGATATCCGAACATGGCCTCTTTCAAATGCGGCACCACACCTTTTTGAACGAATGTACAATTAATAATGTGCAGAGATATAAATACAAACTACATCCACAGGACCAGACAAAATTACCACATACTGCACCTTCACCCACCTGCCAATCACTGCAACTTTCTCCTCGCGAAGGGGCGTGCTGACTGCGTCGGCCATGATGTGTCGTCTGCTGATGGTAAGCTGCGCTTCACCCACTGCGCATCACACTCCCGGTCGTGACAAGAATGAGATAAACGCACGGTCCGGTTACAGTTTCGTGATGAGTAATTCAGGTGAGCAGGAAAACAGCTTAGGTTGCGTTTGGGTGATGATTTCTGTTCCTGAAATCCTGTCTTAACTTTCCCAAATTCGAATGCATACAATTTGGATGTGTAAACATACGCGGTAAACTAGCGCAAAGACGCTGATCGTGGGTCGCTACTTATCAGGGTCACTTTCTGATATGAAGTAACGCGATATGATAATGTATAAATAGCTTGTACATGTGCTTAGAGTACAGTTTACCCTAACACACGAAGCATCTGGGTATGACAGACAACAGGTGACATATTTTCAACATGTTCTCTGATTTCACCCAGAACACAGAAAATATATCTAAATGTAATGACTTTAGCGTCGTGGTTTAAGCATTCGCTCGTCTTGCCTAAGTTCGATTCCTTAATGAGTACATTCTGTGAAGCCCATTATCTGGTGTCCCCCGCCATGATGTTGTTGGCTTATTGCTTGAAGCGGTGTAAAACTAAACTCACTCACATATACGGTGTTGATCACCCTATGCCACATGGTATTATATCACCTGGCAGTTCTCATGTGTTCTCTTTTGATATTCCGTTCTGTAAATTGTAGTAACATAATTTTGTAGACGTGATTAAATACTACAGACATGTAGGTATCTCGTTATGCAACAACTCAATTATAACGTACAGATGGTTACGAACTCCTGAATCTAACTAAAAACGGAAGATTTGACTCATTCAACATTAATTTAATTCATTAAATCGAAGTAAGTAATGCGAAATGACTGGAGTAATGATATTTACAAGGAGGGTTCATGCTGTCTTTTGGCAATATTTTTGATGGGCACCAGAATGAGTACGTGCATGTCAACTTCCGTGGCTTCCAACCAACACCTTGAGCAAATGGGCGTTACTCTCATCTGTACAAGCATTCGAGACCCACTCGTGTTTTTGCGGGGCAAGCCGAATATCTAGTACCCCTCTTGAATCATTCGTGACCAACAAGCCGAATCATTCGTGACCAACTCGTGTTATTCCGGGACAAGCCGAATACATTCGTCACCACTCGAGTGGTGACGAATGCCTCTGGAAGGAATTAATATTCTCTAATGATCACTTCAAACAAGAACGGCAACTCTTTTTCTGTTCAATTCTAACAGTAACAAGCATTACTGAAACACTCGAAAACTGCTGCGTTTAAAAGATTTTAAACTTTGTTTTAAACAACAATAGTGATGATGATGTTCTAAAGTAATTCTTATCAGGTGTTCACCTTAATTCCTAATGTATATTTCTGGATACGGTTTATGAATCGAAAATGGGATATATTTCATAAATAGGCAGTATAAATAGCATTCCCACAAGTCCAGAAAAATGAGTGAGTGAACTTCAATGGGCAAAGTTTACAAAGTTTAGTTTTACGCCGCACTCAGCAATATTCCAGATATATGGCGGCGGTCAGTAAATAAGCGAGTCTGGACCAGACAATCCAGTGATCAACAGCATGGGCATCGATCTGCGCAATTGGGAACCGATGACATGTAAGTCAGCGAGCCTGACCACCCGATCCCATTAGTCGCCTCTTACGACAAGCATGGGTTACTGAAGGTTCATTCTAACCCGGATCTTCACGGGTTTCCACAAAAATGACTCTCAAACTGAAGAATTCGTGGAGAGTTATATCATGATTTAATGTAGGCTACGCGTTGTCTAAGACATGTCGGAGCTTGTTGCCATACCCCTGGTGGAATATTAACATAAACACGCTGAAAAACATGATCCCCAGAAACGCCAGAATGACTTATCACTAGTGAAGTGAACTGAAATGAAATGTAAGCAAAGTGTTAAAGATTAAATATGATTATATATATATTTTTATAAATTATACATCGTAGATATTCATAATTACTTTCGGAAAACGCACGTAAAATTTTCAAAGCAAGTCCGCAAGACCGTCACAGAAAACACTCAATCGAAAACGCGAGAGCCGTTATGTGAACAATACATGTAATTTGTTTAATTTGTTTGTCATGTGAACAAACGCACGCGTATGTAGTTAAACTGGCCCTATCCTTATTGAAAACTTCAAATCAGGCAACACAGTTACTGTTCTGCTAGCCATGTTCTTTGATATGTCAAAATGATGATATATATATTTATCACGTTTATCTAAACAATCACAGAATGCCATAACTGACTTAAGTAGTCGGGATTATTCTTATCAAAGCAATTTGAATTATCGTACCCCATACCACCTATCGATAGGTCTTCTTGGAGGTTACGTAAAGGGGCGGATGGTGACGAATGCTGCACAAGTTGCAAGTTCAAGGTCGTTCAAGCAGACCGGTGATGAATTTTGTGAAAACGGAATATATTGTTGTGATTTTCTGAACCTATGAAATGCTACGATACTTGCATTAATACAATACAAAAGTAACAGTCCTGATACTCTCTCATTTATAAGAATCCGTTATGATCCGGGTTAGAATTGATCTTCAGTAACCCATACTTGTCGTAAGAGTCGACTGACTGGAACAGGTTGTCAGACGCACTGACTTGGCCCAGCGACACATGTCATCGTATCCCAATGTCGTAGACTACCAATCTTTTTTTATAGGGTGGATTGAATTTATCAGTATGAGTTTTCACATGGTGTTATCTTCTTAACCCCTGAATTCCGGGTTAGAATGAACCTTCAGTAGCCCATGCTTGTTGTACGAGGAGACTAACGGGATTGGGTGGTCAGGCTCGCTGACTTGGTTGACACATGCAATCGGTTCCCAATTGCGCAGATCGATGCTCATGCTGTTGATCACTGGATTGTCTGGTTATTTACAGACCGCCGCCATATAGCTGGAATATTGCTGAGTGTGGCGTAAAACTAGACTCACTCACTCATTTATAAGACATTTGTTCGCCAGTCCTGCGAAGGATCAAAGGGTGCTGCACGTAACTGACATAACATAACGATATATTGCATGTTGGTGGGCAACACGCGCATTTCAAGATATATGACATGTTTTGGGTGAGTCGGTGAGTATGGTTTCACGCCCCTTTATTGCAATATTCCAGCAATATCAAGCGGGACTGACATTATAAATGGGCCTCCACGTGGGCAATCGAACCCGGGTTCTAGGCATGGTAAGCGGGCGCCCCAACCACATGGCTATCCTACTGCACCTGACTACAGAGAGATTTTAATCGGTCCGAAAGTGAAGTACGGCCGTGCATGTGCACGGAGCTTTCGTCGCCCCATTTGGAATGGCCTGTCAGTCTGCGCATGAGTGAGTGAGTTTAGTTTTACGTCGCACTCAGCAATATTCCAGCTATATGGCGGCGGTCTGTAGATTATCGAGTATCGACCTGACAATCCAGTGATTAACAGCATGAGCACATTCTGCTCATGACGTTACAGGTACAGTTCCGTTTTACAATTTGTTACCAACAAAAGTGTCGGATAAAGCCGATTGTTGGATTAACGAGACTTGACTGTATATGTTTATGTATATGTTTAATACCTTCAACCCGTGAGTAATAATAAAGAGCAGTTATTACACGGATGAGTGTAACTTTCAAGATATATTTGTATATTTCTACGAAAGACAATACACTCATTAAATCGCGCAGTTCATAAATCGTTTGTGAACAAAACCGAGGGCTAATATCACTCCAAGTGCACCAGAACGTCCTTTGTCAGCAACGATGACGTAATGGTGACGTAACCGTCATGGTCGAAGATTGTTGCCGTTCTACAATTCTGAGTGAGTGAGTTTGTTTTACGCCACCTACAGCAGTAATCCAGCAACATCACGGCGGGGAACACCAGAAATAGGCTTCACACATTGTACCCATGTGGGGAATCGAACCCGGGGCCCATTCGTGACGAGCGAAGGCTTTAATCACTTTGTCTATCCTACTGCCCCGCTAGATGTTGTGGTTTTCTAAGGCAGCGGTTGTGATCATGACCTTCTCTCACGACAGGAAATACAAGAATTCCGTTCCTCGTTTCATGAAATCAGTTTGACACAATGATCGCATGATAGTATCTCTTATTGAATTTAAAGAAATTTTACTTTGTAGGTATGATATCAACAGAAAGAGTCACGTCATCTACTACGAATTCCTATCACAAGAGGACTAATATAGTTGCTGACACAACATCCAACAGATCCTGTTTATTCACCATAAGATAATTACAAATATTTATACAAACTAGTATGGCATAGCTTGGAAGTGTCTCCTCATACACACTTACACAACCATGCCATATAACACAGTGTCATATCTGGCATAGTTAATCGGATATAATAATGACTGTGTTTATATCTTTGATATCCCGTATTTCTATAACTTGACGGCGTCCAAATCTTCTTTGAGTTTTCCAAGCGCTGCCATCTTGGCTTCCCTTCTTCTCCTGGCCTCCCCCCAGCCTGTCCAGGGGTACCTCCTTTGCCATCTCCTCCTGTATGTGCTCCGCCAGAGCCCCACCCATCTGCTGAGGGGCACCGAACGACTGCTGCACCCGGTGAATCATATCTGCGTACCGCTCGCAGTAGCTTCCAAACCCTCATGAGGAAAAAGGTGATGTTAAAATAGTGAGACAGATCCAGATACAGGTAATCAGTACTTCTTGCATTCATGTCTTGGTCATATGGTTTACGCCCTTCTTTAAAGAGAAGACAAACTGATACGGCCTTCTTTACAGAGATGGCAGACTGATACGCCCTTTACAGAGATGACAGACTGATGCGCCCTACTTTACAGAGATGACAGACTGATACGCCCTTCTTTACAGAGATGACAGACTGATACGCCCTTCTTTACAGAGATGGCAGACTGATACGCCCTTCTTTAAAGAGATGACAGACTGATACGCCCTTCTTTACAGACATGACAGACTGATACGCCCTTCTTTACAGAGATGACAGACTGATACGCCCTTCTTTACAGAGATGACAGACTGATACGCCCTTCTTTACAGACATGACTGATACGCCCTTTACTTTGCACAGATGATGACAGACTGATACGCCCTTCTTTACAGAGATGACAGACTGATACGCCCTTCTTTACAGAGATGACAGACTGATACGCCCTTTCTTTACAGAGATGACAGACTGATACGCCCTTCTTTACAGAGACTGACACGACTGATGACTTCTTTACAGAGATGACGATACGCCCTTCTTTACAGAGATGACAGACTGATACGCCCTTCTTTACAGAGATGACAGACTGATACGTACTTCTTTACAGAGATGACAGATACGCCCTTCTTTACAGACTGATACGCCCTTCTTTACAGAGATGACAGACTGATACGTCTTCTTTACAGAGATGACAGACTGATACGCCCTTCTTTACAGAGATGACAGACTGATACGCCCTTCTTTACAGAGATGACAGACTGATACGTCCTTCTTTACAGAGATGACAGACTGATACGCCCTTCTTTACAGAGATGACAGACTGATACGTCCTTCTTTACAGAGATGACAGACTGATACGCCCTTCTTTACAGAGATGACATACTGATACGCCCTTCTTTACAGAGATGACAGACTGATACGTTCCTTCTTTACAGACTGACAGACTGATACGCCCTTCTTTACAGAGATGACAGACTGATACGACAGACATGACAGACTGATACGCCCTTCTTTACAGAGATGACAGACTGATACGCCCTTCTTTACAGACTGATGACAGACTGATACGCCCTTCTTTTACAGAGATGACAGACTGATACGCCCTTCCTTTACAGAGATGACAGACTGATACGTCCTTCTTTACAGAGATGACAGACTGATACGCCCTTCTTTACAGCCCTTCCTTTACAGAGATGACAGACTGATACGTCCCTTCTTTACAGAGATAGACAGACTGATACGCCCTTCTTTACAGAGATGACAGACTGATACGCCCTTCTTTACAGAGATGACAGACTGATACGCCCTTCCATACAGAGATACGATACAGAGAGATGACCTGATACGCCCTTCTTTACAGAGATGACAGACTGATACGTCCGTCCATACAGAGATAGACAGACTGATACGCCCTTCTTTACAGACATGACAGACTGATACGCCCTTCCTTAAGGAGATGACACTGATACTGATACGATAGAAACTGACCCCATTCTTTACAGAGATGACAGACTGATACGCCCTTCCTTACAGAGATGACAGACTGATACGCCCTTCTTTACAGAGATGACAGACTGATACGCCCTTCTTTACAGAGATGACAGACTGATACGTCCTTCTTTACAGAGATGACAGACTGATACGCCCTTCTTTAGAGATGACAGACTGATACGCCCTTCTTTACAGAGATGACAGACTGATACGCCCTTCTTTACAGAGATGACAGATTGATATGCCTTTTTTTACAGAGATGACAGATAAATACGCCCTTTTTTACAGAGATAGCAGACTGATACGCCCTTCTTTACAGAGATGGCAGATTGATACGCCCTTCCTTACAGAGATAGACAGACTGATATTCCTGTCTTCTTGGTGATTGACATATTAATATCTTCATTTTCATAGACAGATTGATATACCCACTGACCTTCAGCATTGAGATGTGCAGTTTGGAAAGGCCCGAGGAAGGCATATCGTCTTCCAAGTCCAGCAGACAAAGTCTTATTGACACCATCAGGGCTGAGAAATCCACCCTGCGTGACATGAAAGCGAAGATTAACAGGATTTACAGAATGGTATATGGAGATGGAGGATAGCTGCACCATTTACAGAGGTCGACGGCCATGTATACAAGGTGCTGTTTGTCTGAAAACAATGCTCAACAACTGACCAGAGAGTCGTACCTTTACGAGTCGGTAACTTTCCGCCATGATTGCATATTGCATTCGGTTGAGGATGAATCCTGGGATTTCTTTCTTGAGCGTGATGGGAGACTGTCCGATCGCCTTTATCAGGTCCTGGGCCCGAGTCACGGTTTCTGGGGCTGTCCAAGGAGCAGGCACGAGCTCAGCGACTCTCGAGCACGAGGGCGGGTTGGCCTGCGTGTGGAATACAATATTAAGTGTGTTTGTTTGTTGTTTATAGCAATATTCTAGCTGTATGGCGGTGGTCTGTAAACAGTCGGGTCTGACAATCCAGTGAACAACGCCATAAGCATCAACCTACGCAAATGGGATACGATGAACCTAACATCCCGACCCTTTGTCGCCCCTTTCGACAAGAAAGGGTTGATGAAGACCAATTCCAACCGAGTCTTCACAGGGGCGCCAGTCCAGTCATGTAGCGGAGGAAAATTCTATGTATATTGCAAATGTTCAAATATGCAAATTGCATTTTACCACATAGTGTTCAATAACTGAGTTATAATTTTCTGGTTTTCTGACCTACAATGAATGAGCGAGTATTCCAATTATATCACACCGTGTCAGCGTAATGTGATAGGAATGCTCAAAGCATGGAAACATATGGGGACGAAAGGGGATTCCAACACATGATCATAGGTTCCTACCGTGCTCAAGGGACGCAACTCAGCACAGCGTGTTCCGAGTCTTACAGCATTTGGCCACCCATGTTTCATGGTGAGGCATCGTACCTATTTACCTCCCCAGTTGACGTTAGTTGAGAACACTTATCTACTGATTTACTCTTATACTGGGAAGATTCCTGAGAGAACACAAACATTGTGAAAACCGCACGTAAGAAGGACTTACTGGATGAACAACCAGGAACTTGTCCTTGTGTTTAAGATCTCGCGACAGGTCAGAGGGCAGGATGCTGCTTGTCGAACTGGCAACAATTGTGTCCAGAGAAGAGTGTTGATCCACCTCAGTTAAGACCTGTTTTTCAACTCCAGGTCCTCCGGGACGCACTCCTGCCAGAAACAGACATAAAAAAACTTCAGTAAGTGAGTGACATGTGATGTCATATTGAAAAGGAAAGGATAGTTTGCCAATATTATTGACCTCTTTGAAAGGGATTCGACCACCGGATCTCTTTAGGACCTCAATACCTTTCTTCGTACTGACTGACTGACTGAGGTTTGGTTTTACGCCGCTTTTAGCAATATTCCAGCAACATCACGGCGGGGACACCAGAAATGGGCTTCACACATTGTACCCATGTGGGGGCGTGAACCTGGGTCTTTGGCGTGACGAGCCAACGCTTTAACCACTAGGCTACCCCACCGCCCCATTTTCTTCGTAGGTGTAGAACGTGGCAAACGGCGTGGCGACCTGCATTTTGCTTTTATTTCCGTTAAACAAATTTTGTAGGAAAATAATTTTTCCATCTTTTGTCCAGCCGAATTCAGGTGCCATGGAGACATGACGTCAAACTCTCGTTTATGATATCATTCAAAAGAGACGCCGGGCATATAAGTCTGTCGACAGCTTATGGTCGCGCTGAGAACATCCTACTTAAAGGTGGTAACATGTTTTACCTTCGGCTTACACCGACAGCAACCATCGTTAATAGACCGGTGTCCACGTTGCCAGTGGAGTCTTGGATAACGCCAGAACTCGACTGACGCTATGATCCAGCGAGATGAAATGTTGTTCTGACATACATATCACTTCTGACTTACCTGTACCCAGACAGCGCCGGTGACACATTCCCCTAGATCCTGTACACCCCGTATCCTCCCCCACTGCTCCTCCACCCCCAGGGTACCCCGGAGAAGGCCATCACGTGACTGGCTGTGTAACTGCTCCAGCAATGACTCAAGAGTGCGCGTCACGCGCTCAGGGATGACGTCGTACAGCGCCACCAGGTAGCCAGCACTTGCAAACCGCAAAGCCCAGCTTCTTCCTATCTGACCACTGCAGAACCCAAAGACAGATACGAACTAACAAGTTGTGTTAACGGTCAAGCAAATTGTAGAGTGAGTGAGTTTTAGATTTACGCCGCTTTTAGCAATATTCCAGCAATGTCGCGGAGGGGGACATCAGGAACGGGCTTCACACATTGTATCCATGTAGGGAATCGAACCCGGGTCTTCTGCGTGACGAGCGATCGTTTTAACCACTGGGCTACCCCACCCGCAAATTGTAGTGAACCAAACAGCGTTGAAATACACTACAGAAACCTGGCACAGGTGCAAAACAGAACATGGCGTTAGAGAGATAAATCTCGACCCACTTCGAACAAAAGCTAAAACACTATTTTTCTTTCTTTATTTATAGTGCAATTACAACATGAACAATACTTGATGCATCGGTGTGACTGTCGCATCTTCAGGTTATCAGCCTCCAACGATGAACGCCTTCGAAACACCATGTTAAAGAACAAATAAACTTTGTTTTTTTTGTACTCTTTTAACCATTACATATGAAAGATTTGTGGTTAGTCTTATGCGGAACACCAAATTCATTCTTAAAAAACTTGTGGTTAATTAACACCGAGGGTTTAAAAGTTGCCAAAAAGTCGCCTGCTTCACTCGCGCCCGCCAACGAAACCACAGACAGGTTACGTAACTCTGTCGCCAGAGCACTGCAGTGACGTCATATGAGGAACGATTTTCAGTTAGTTGTATATAAAGTGTGCAGCAATCTCGTCATTTTGATGATTTCTCGACATCAACGAAGACATGCCGAATCGTTGCGTTGTCGTCAATTGCTCCTAGGGGTAGTTCGTGCTAAATGGGTTATGTTTGTGAGTGCGAAGCGAGCGTTGTGGAAGCCTGGAACGTTATCTTACTTGTGTTCAGATCGCTTCACGGAAGTTAAAGAATCAAAACTACTTACTATTTGTAATAAAATATGTATATGATTGATGACCAAAAAGATTTTCCATGACACAACTTGTAACATAACGATTTCTTTAATGACGGGGTTTCATTTATAACGATGCCAATTAGTGATTTTTGTATTTGTGCACACACACACACACACACACACACACACACACACACACACACACACACACACACACACACACACACACACACACACACGAGTATATGTGATCTTTAACACCTACCAAATCTGATAATAGGCCCTACCGATTGAACACAATCCAACGAGGACATCACGTATTTAAGAACATTAATCCCGTGTTGATATCATCTTTAATCTGATAATCATGTACCAATACCTTCCCACACAAACTACATCAAAATTGACATCACATGGCTGCTTGCAAACATGTTATCACATTCACAATAATCCTATTTGCCGAACTCATGAGATGACACTAGTTGTCTCCGCTAGGTGTCGCCTCTTCTCTGTCCAAGTCCCGGACGAGGCGAGACAAAGCCGCTAAACGTTCATCTCTCCACTGACGTTTTTCCTGGAGTTTGTCCAGAGGACAGAACAGCTCTAGTTGCTCGCGCATCCTCTCCGCCGTCAGTCCTTCCATCTTCTCAGGTGCAGCAAACGTTTGTTGAACGCTATAAACAGTCTCCCCATATTTGCTGCACAGATCCACAAACCCTGGAAGAGACATTGTGGACGTTCTCAACATTTTCAAACACCAAGAGGACAACAGATTTTATCCTGGCGATACTCTTCATCTGCTAGAGGAAAATACATACAATTCTGTCTGTCTGTTCTTCAGTGTTACGACAGGAATAGAAACAGAATACGTGAAATCACGTTTATTAGACGTGATATGAGTTTTTTACTGAGTGTTCAAGTGTCGCTGATGATACACCTGTAGCCTCACCGTCTGCATTCAGATGTTCCACTTCAAACGGTCCAAAGAAGGCGTACCACATCCCCAACCCTTCCGTCATGGCTACCTCAACGGCATCGACGTCACAGACGTCATTCTGGAAAATTGTAAAACATCTGTAAGTCGATGATACGTTTATGTCGCACATGCTTGTCCGTATGGTTGTATGTATGTATGTATGTGCGTGCGTACCTGTCTGTCTGTCTATATGCATATGCATGCACATATGTGTCTATGTCTGTATATGTGTGTATGTATGTGTGTGTGTGTGTATGTATGTATGTGTGGGCGTGCTTGCGAGTGTGCCTGCCTGCCTGTCTGTCTGTATGTGTATGTATGTCTGTATGTGTGTGCATGCATGTATGTGTGTATGTCTGTCTGTATGTATGAATGTGTGTGTGTGTGTGTGTGTGTGTGTGTGTGTGTGTGTGTGTGTGTGTATTCATCATTTATATTGTTCCTATCAAAGATAAGTCGAAACGTGTTTACGATGCCTGTTGCCAACTACACGTTAATGTTACACACGATTACCATCATGAACCAGTGATATCCGGTAATATCCGGATATTCATACAATAATATTATTTACAGTTAAAATGTAGAATGAACGACATTGTAATGATACTTTCATTAATATGTACATGTACTGTTAAGCGCCATGACATCCGTCGTTATTCTAACACATCATCTACATAACTTCTCCTATGTACACTTTATGTGTTGACTGAATTTGGCAACCTTGATTAGTTCGTAGGCCACGTTGAGTATTGCAAACTGGATCCTCCCAACAGCAAATCCGTCCACCTCCTTGTAGAAAACTACCGGAACTTGACCAATAGCATCCATGATCTCAGAAGTCTTAGCTGTCACGTGATCAGCAGTCCAGGGCGCAGGTACTATTTCCACGACAGGGACATAAAATGGAGGGTTTGTCTGAAACATGAGACGAAACCATGACAACTAAAACAATCAGCGCATTGTCAGCAGGAATAAACGTGTAAGGGGAGGCTATTAAAAGCATCGTCATATATGTGCCGCAAATCGAAATAATCGACAAAATATCATCACTCCGATATCATTGCTCCGATATCATTGCTCCGATATGATTTCACCAGATGCATACCATGAAACAGAATGCGAATGCTAGTGTATTTGTTTTCTTGTTACCTTACTACGTGCCGATTGTGACTGAATATTGTTTTATGATGCTTTAGAATCACATACGTTTTCATCACTATCATGATAAATATTGGGCATACAAGAAATGGGCTTCCGGCATTCTTCCCATATGGAGAATCGAAGCCAGATATTCATCGTGACGAGCAAACACCTTAACCTCTAGGCTACCCTACAGCCCCGATTGCTTACAAGATTTATTCAGCGTGTAACATGTCAAAGCACCAAACATAGGTCTTTGTTGGTCGTGTGGCCATGCAAACATTGTTATCTGAGTTAGTTAACAGGGTTTTCCGTCGGTTTTAGCTATATTCGCTGTATATCACCAGGAATGGGCTTCACGAATTGTACATACAGTCAAATCCCGATGAGTCGAATCTCTGGGGACCAAGTAATAAATTCGACTTATCGATGTATTTATGAGTCGAATTCGTGTAACCGGTATTCAAATGATGACAACTATAACAGGGAATGGTCGGGACCGACAGGTACTTCGAGTTATGCATAATATTCGAGACACCGGCATTCGACTCATCGGGATTTGACTGTATTAGAAGACGTCTTACCGGATGTGCCACTATAAATCGGTCTTTGTTGGTTAGGTGGTCAGACAGAAGGGACGGCATCATAGCGCTGGTGGAACTCGCCAAGATGGCTGTTGACGTCATGGCCCCGTCGACCTCAAGCAAGACGGCGCGCTTCAGCTCCCTCCTCTCAGGAACACATTCCTGGCATCGCAAGCATGGTCATCAACATCAAGGTCATTCATATGTAAACAGCATTTGCAACGCATATGTCACTCGTTAAACTCACTCACAAAACAATGTATATAAACATTTACCTGTATGTACACGGCGTTGTTGACCGCCTCCAGCAGAGATGTACTTGCGCTAATTCTCGAGAACTGGACATCAGCGGACAGGCTTCCTCGACCTAAGCCTCTTTCTGATAACATGGTAAGCTGTTGCTGAATGTTCGTCATGGCGTCCTTTACCTGACGCGAATCGGTGTCAAACAGCGATACGGGGTAGCCGCCCGAGGCGAACAGCATCGCCCAACTCCGTCCAATCAACCCACTGAGAATGATACAAAGCCATACGTCATTTGACGAAGGCGGACACGTTAAGTCGTAACGTAAACTTCACTCGCAACACGTCACTGTTTGTGCTCACTGTATCACACATATCTAGTAATGCTTGCTAATTTGGTCACTACATGACATTTTTTTATATTTATCACCTTGTATCACATATTTCTCAGTCGCACTGATTATACAGCCTAGATGTCCAGTGTGACAACCTCTGGGTACTCCTATTCAAAGTTCTCTTCGAAAATAGGATATCAAGAAGGCAGTTAATGCGTAAACACATATATAAAGTGAAGCCAATATATAGATTTCAAGGTTTCAGACATAGCATTGTCACTTCGTATGTCATAAACATTCGTACCGTAACCCCCTTCTGTCTCGTAGACACGTACCATGATCCCCTTCTGTTTCTAAGGTATGACGGACCATAACCCCCTTACATCTCATAGACATGTACCATAATCCCCTTCTGTCCTACAAACATGACGTATAATAATCCCTTCTTGTCTCACATACATGACGTACCATAATCCCTTCTTGTCTCACATACATGACGTACCATAATCCCTTCTTGTCTCACATACATGACGTACCATAATACCTTCTTGTCTCACATACATGACGTACCATAATCCTTCTTGTCTCACATACATGACGTACCATAATCCCTTCTTGTCTCACATACATGACGTACCATAATCCCTTCTTGTCTCACATACATCACGTACCATAATCCCTTCTTGTCTCACATACATGACGTACCATAATCCCTTCTTGTCTCACATACATGACGTACCATAATTCCTTCTTGTCTCACATACATGACGTACCATAATCCCTTCTTGTCTCACATACATGACGTACCATAATCCCTTCTTGTCTCACATACATGGCCTACCATAATCCCTTCTTGTCTCACATACATGACGTACCATAATACCTTCTTGTCTCACATACATGACGTACCATAATCCCTTCTTGTCTCACATACATGACGTACCATAATCCCTTCTTGTCTCACATACATGACGTACCATAATCCTCTTACTTGTCTCACATACATGACGTACCATAATCCCTTCTTGTCTCACATACATGACGTACCATAATTCCCTTCTTGTCTCACATACATGACGTACCATAATACCTTCTTATCTCACATACATGACGTACCATAATCCCTTCTTGTCTCACATACATGACGTACCATAATCCCTTCTTGTCTCACATACATGACGTACCATAATCCCTTCTTGTCTCACATACATGACGTACCATAATCCCTTCTTGTCTCACATACATGACGTACCATAATCCCTTCTTGTCTCACATACATGACGTACCATAATCCCTTCTTGTCTCACATACATGACGTTGTCTCCATAATCCCTTCTTGTCTCACATACATCACGTACCATAATCCCTTCTTGTCTCACATACATGACGTACCATAATCCCTTCTTGTCTCACATACATGGCGTACCATAATCCCTTCTTGTCTCACATACATGACGTACCATAATCCCTTCTTGTCTCACATACATGACGTACCATAATCCTTCTTGTTTCACATACATGACGTACCATAATCCCTTCTTGTCTCACATACATGACGTACCATAATCCCTTCTTGTCTCACATACATGACGTACCATAATCCCTTCTTGTCTCACATTATCATGACGTACCATAATCCCTTCTTGTCTCACATACATGACGTACCATAATCCCTTCTTGTCTCACATACATGACGTACCATAATCCCTTCTTGTCTCACATACATGACGTACCATAATCCCTTCTTGTCTCACATACATGACGTACCATAATTCCCTTCTGCGTCACAGGCATGACGTACCAAAATCCCTTCTTGTCTCACATACATGACGTACCATAATCCCTTCTTGTCTCACATACATGACGTACCATAATCCTTCTTGTCTCACATACATGACGTACCATAATACCTTCTTGTCTCACATACATCACGTACCATAATCCCTTCTTGTCTCACATACATGACGTACCATAATCCTTCTTGTCTCACATACATCACGTACCATAATTCCCTTCTGCGTCACAGGCATAACGTACCAAAATCCCTTCTTGTCTCACATACATGACGTATCATAATTCCCTTCTGGGTCACAGACATGATGTACCATAATCCCTTCTTGTCGCACATACATGACGTACCATAATCCCATAATCCTATAACTTCCTTCTGCGTCACGGACATACCTTCCCATTAGCCCTCTGTCAACTAATGGGGTTTATCGATATAGTAATGAACGAAAGATGATTTAGAATGATAACCACGATAATTGATAGGAGCGTGATGAATTGTTATTTCCTGTTTTCATTATCCTAGAGATAATGACCCGTGAAGGTCCGGGTTCGAATATTGGCCTTCAGTAACCCATGCTTGTCGTAAGAGGCCTTTAACGGGATCGGTGGTCAGGCTCGCTGGCTTGGATGACACATGTCATCGGTTCCCAATTGCTTAGATCGATGCTCATGTTGTTGATCACCGGATTGTCTGGTCCAGACTCGATTATTTACAGACCGCTGCCATATAGCTGGAGTATTGCTGAGTGCGGCGTGAAACTAAACTCACTCGCTCACTCACCCAGAGATAATGATGTGCTAGATAGTGGGTTAAACGATTTCTTCTGTTTTCTTCTTTTTATATTTTTGTTGCTGCATTCATTTGTTTTACCTAAGCATCTTAGACAGCATCATCGTAATCTGTCTCTTGACACTCATTTCTATACCGGACCATTATCAGTTCAGCTTGAAGATAACGACAATGTATACTGCTTTGCAAATGTTTTAGAAATCTTGTCATATGCATGTCAAAACACTGAATTTTATAATCGCGTCAAACTTTGCAAATTTCAACGTGGTTCCATATATTTCCACCCACCTGCCAATAATGGCAATCTTTTCCTCCTTCAGCTCCGTCGGTTTGTCTGATTGTTGTGTCGCCATGTTTATCAAGCCTCACGTGATGCATAATCACGTTTATCAGTCGGTACGCCCTACATATCAGCTGGCGATCTCTACCTGAATATTCATACATGGAAATCGAGGGTTAGTGATATGGACATGCAGGTCATAAGCACAACAAAAACACAATTAGTACTAGGTATTGCCGAGGAACTGCTTCAGGAACCGAAAATACCCTGTTGCTTCTCCTGCAGTGAGGACAAAGCGGTCTACTTATAACATGAGTAGGTGCAATAGATGTCGGTCTGGACAAATAGATTCACTTACGTGCAGTAGATGTTGGTCTGGACAAATAGATTCACTTACGTGCAATAGATGTCGGTCTGGACAATAGATTCAGTTGCCTACAGTAGATGTCGGTTTTTACGAATCCATCTTTACATCCATAAAACTCTCTTCCCTTTGTGTATCACTTCTAAATGACATTCAAAGAACTGATGTATGATTTGGTAATAAAATACTATATACCACTGGTGTGGGACTATACCTAATGTTCGAATAACTTCCAGTATGCCTTAACTCATAGTTAAGTCAGTAAGAAAATGCATTTACTGCCATGAAAATAATCTTCACCAATGTTTGATGTTTGGTGGGTAAAGCTGAAACAAACAGAAGATGGTTATTTGATGGTGATGCATTTGAAACAGATATCGTGGCTGTGTTTTGGCTAAATATTATCACTTCATTCGTGTAAATGTCAACTTGCAAGATCTTCTAATGATAAAAGGCAAAATATTCTCTGAAACATCAATCTTGTAATGTCTGAATCCATCTAAATTAAAAACAATATTTTGCATTTGCCAAGGAACCATTTCCACTAGTGGTATGTCTTGTGGAAAGATATTAGAGTTGTGTACCTTTCGACCTTGAAACTCAAGGACGCTGTTGCCCATCTGCACGGTTATATTTGTCACAAATTACCGGTGATATCTCCAGAAAATGATAGCTTTATCCACCAGACTTGCCAAAGCGGCAGGTGGTTCAAGAAATGTGAGTGTTTAGAGAGAGAGAGGCTTTACGTGTGGATTAAATGCGTGGATATTTAGTTTTGCGCCCCTGTTTTCGCGCACAGCATGACTCGCGAAGACGATCATCGTGATATGACATTGACATTCTCCTGGCTAGTTGTCCCGAAATTTGTAACATATATGTCCTTGACCATGCATAGTGCATCCGTTATGTTTTTTATTCGATTTGCACACGTTCGTTCCATTTGCAAATATGCATAGCAAAATGTCTTGACGGCCTTGTATTGTCTAGTCACAAGTGACAGTTCTGCTTTGCTAAGAAACACTACTCCCTGCCGCCATACAAAATGTGGTCAGTGACGTCTGACATCTATGGCGAACACTAAGTGAAGACATCTGTATCGTTTGCAAACAGTCTAACAAAATAGAAGCCATAAGATATTTTTTTATGTGATTTAATGGTCTCTGGACAAATGAGTGTCGTTTTGAAATTAGGATATTCATTTTAAGATATTCTTAAATTCGTGGATAACCTTGACTCGTGGATCGCGGTATCTATCATGCTGTCATGTAAATTAACTTTCATATGACGTGACGAAGGGGTACTTTTGATGTACACAGTGCCACGCCTCGCTGTCCGTGTCCGTGCATCAGTTGCTGTTGTGAGAAATTTTATTGACAATGGAAATCTGGAAGTTAAGTTATATAAAATGCAAACAAACATCAATAGTATTTACCCGAGATCGTTAATACCACTTCAGATGCAAAATTAGGGGGTTTTTTTGGTTTTTTTTATTCCACTTTTTTTTGTTGTACAGCAAATCATACATGTCTTACATAATATGTCATTTAACATATGCTTCATTGAAAACAGACTGTTTATGGCAGCACGAGCAATGTCATCTATCGAGAAGCAGTTTCATCAAAAGAGTAACTGGATAAAATGGTTCAAACAACCTGCTTATGGCAACTGGACCGATGCTATACATCGAGAAACAAAGTTTCAGCAAAAAGAGTAATTAAATAGAGTGGTTCAAACATACCACTTATGGCGGCTGGACCAATGTCATACATCGATAAACAAAGTTTCGTTGAAAAGGGTAATTGAATAGAGTGGTATAACCAGTGTCATACATCGATACACAAAGATTCATTGAAAAGGGTAATTAAATAGAGTAGTTAAGAAACATACTGCGTATGGCAACTGGACCATACATCGAGAAACCAGGTTTCATCGAAAAGGGTAATTGAATAGAGTGGTTAAGAAACAAACTGCTTTATGGCAACTGGACCATACATCAATAAACAAAGTTTCATTGATAGTAGTAATTTAATAAAGTTGTTCAAAACATACCACTTATAGCAGATGGACTAATGTCATACAACGAAAAACAAAGTTTCATCGAAAAAGGTAATTGAATAGAGTGGTTCAAACAACCAAGTTATGGCAACTGGATCAATGTTGTGCATCGATAGAACGAAGTTTCATCGAAAAGAGTAGTTGAATATATTGGTCAAACAAACAACTTATGGCAACTGGACCAAAATTTAACAAATTTGTTGTAATCACAGTTAGAGTAAGCTATGGCTTTTGTTATGTTATAGTAATTTGTTAACTCCCTCTGGATCGAAGCAAAGGAAAGTTTTTCTCGTTTAACATAAACTTTGAAAATTGTGGGGTTTTTTACGAGACAGATTACGTTTAAAGGGTCATTTCTTTTAGAAGGAAAGCCCAACAAAATTGTTTCTTTAGTAAACTGTATATTGATTTCCGCCTTGCTGTTTACCCAGTTTTGGACTTCAATCCAGATTGAGTTCACAATTTCACAATTCCATAAAACATGACAAATATCTGCTATGAACTTATGACAAGTTGTACAGATAGGAGAGTTTTGGTATCCAATCTTAAACAAATATTTTCCAACTGGAAGGATTCGGTTAATAATTTTATATTGAAACCACCGTAATTGAACACTATCAGTTGATCGAAATGGAATTTCATTAATATTCCTCCATTCCCTATCTGTATATTGTTTTACTATTTCTTTCTCCCATTGTTGATTGGCTGAAGTTTTCTGGAACTTAGATCCTAATAACACATTATAGTAATATTTTGAGCCCTTTTGGTATTCAGGAGCAAAACGAATGTTAAATGGTAGTAATGGTGCTGTTAATGGTGTATTATCGCCATAATCAAGCTCGCTCAAATATTTATTCAAAGACTTTTTACCCCGCGTGAAATGTTAAATAATTGGAGGAAATATTGTACTTATTTTTGAAATCTAGGTATGAAAGAGTTTGACCTTCCCGATCTATCAAATCGTTGATATATTTTACTCCGGCTTCCTCCCGTTGTTTAATAAATATGCATTTTTTATAAATCTTAACATTATCATTATACCATATATACTGTGAGTACGCATCCTTTCGTGTTTTCTTATGCTTATTCAGGAACAGAGCCCAGGATGATAAAACATCTCGCCAGAAGGGGTTTCTTATGTTGTTAATGATATTAACAAAATTAGTTGCCGTTATAACAAAAAATAGCAAACGAAAATTCAGTAAGATCAGTCGTCTGCTAGTGCTAGGCAGTATATAAATAACTTCTTTGAGTGGCATTTTAGAAGTTGGGAAGTACAATATAGAGCAAACTTTATGGATAACAACTTCTTTTTTTCGTGAGTGCGACGTTTCGATACAGATTCTTGTACCGTTGTCAAGCATAATGGAACATGAAGAAGGGGAAGTGTATGTATACTGGATGTAACAATGTAACAAAGAAAACAACATAATTAACATAATTGGCTAGGCAGAAAGCTGATGAAGCCAGAGAGTAGACAAAGGACAGGCGTGGAAGCCAATGATGTACAAATGATAATGAGATGTTTATACAGCAGAGTTTATACAGTAGATTGGGCTTGGTGGATGAGTGCATCATAAGCGGATGGAATGAAGTATCCTTGGTCTCGGTTGATGGTGGGCTTTTGGCATGGATGGCTCACCGAAGCCATCCACATCAAACGCCAAAAGCCCACCATCAACCGAGACCAAGGATACTTCATTCCATCCGCTTATGATGCACTCATCCACCAAGCCCAATCTACTGTATAAACTCTGCTGTATAAACGGTACAAGAATCTGTATCGAAACGTCGCACTCACGAATAAAAAGACGTTGTTATCCATAAAGTTTGTTCTATATAGTATATAAATAGGATGCCATGTGATCACAACTCTCCCTCGCAGTGCGGAGCGAAAAGTATGGCTCCGTCATCATCGAAAACCCATACAAAATCCCTGGATGTGGAGAGCGGCAACAGTTTTGCCGATACGATGTCATCAATGCAAGTTTTGTAGTACACTTGATATTTTTGTGTGAAATAGATGAATATATGCTTTATCACTCAAGGTTAGTAAAGTAAAAACTTTAAATGATATTATCGTCGACACTGGGATATGTATGCTCCAAAAGACTGACTTGCTGTTGAGTTTGAAACATTATTCAATATTAATATGTTTACATAATCACTTATTACTGAAGTACTTGATAGAACCAGTAAAGAGTACTGGAGCCGCTATAGGATATGCTTGAGTGTTTTCATGGCCTGTTGCCTGTGTTTCAGTGGCTGTTTGGTGTACTTCGAGGCTCCAGTTATGGCACCGCATCCGAGGCTAACTTCCAGGTGGAGGTAAGCAGGCAGCAGCAAATATTTCTTGAGATAGATAACAGTAACGCTGATACGTCATCAAAGTCAATATCTTAAATACTAAGCTCAAGCAGATAGATATGGCAAAAAAAGCTTTCATGATGGACAACAGCTCATCTTTTGTCTTTCTGTTATTATTATTCTGTTTCCCGGACAATATCACATTTTCACTGTCTGAAATAAAAAAAACCCAAATGATTCACATGCAAAAGGGAGAGAATGTGTACTTTTGAAAAAATGAAAGTACTGATGGAAATACAAATGGTTATCATGATATCGTACATATCAAATCACAGCCTCACTGTGTCTTTACACCCTACTACCTTCAGTCATACAAGCTGCACAAACTGGAGCAAGGGCCAGCTACATCTGTTACACTTTCCCGGGAGGACGGTCTCAAGATGTACCGACAGATGCAGACAGTTCGCAGAATGGAGACAGTGGCTGGCAACCTGTACAAATCTAAAATCATTCGAGGGTTTTGTCACCTCTACTCAGGCCAGGTGAGTACAGGTCCTTGGACCTTTGCTTGTGTGTTGATCATGTCATAATACGAGGGATATCAATAGTTATAAGTGTTATTTATCAATTACAGGATGATGAATGGGGATATCACATGTTATCAGTGTTACTCATCAATAACAGGGGAATGTGTGAGGATATCAATAGTTATAAGTGTTATTTATCAATAACAGGGATGTCTGAGGATATCACATGTTATCAGTGTTACTTATCAAATACAGGAGAATGTGTGAGGATATCAATAGTTATAAGTGTTATTTATCAATTACAGTATGATGCTTGGGGATATGACTCGTTATCAGTGTTACTTATCAAATACAGGAGAATGTGTTATTGTTATAAGTGTTATTTATCAATTACAGTATGATGCTTGAGGATATCACATGTTACCAGTGTTACTTGTCAATTACAGGATGATGCATGGTGATATAAGGTCTAATAATGTATGGGTTTGTTGCCGGTTAGTTTATTGATTGTGGTGCTGCCAAGGTTACTGATCTCCTGTGTACAGTTACAAAGGCTTTGTTCTGTTACAGGAAGCTGTTTGTGTGGGTATGGAGAGTGCCATTACCCGTGATGACTCGGTGATCACAGCCTACAGGGCTCATGGCTGGACCTTCGTCAGGGGAGTCCCAGTGCAGGGTGTGCTGTCAGAGCTCACAGGTAGGACTTGGTACAGTAGTCACATGACTTCTTCAGTGAGAAAATGTACATAGGTGTTGTAATAATGCTAATCTGCTTCACACGTCCATTTTATGTGAATGATGAAATGGAATGCTTCACAGGTCTGTTATCATTATGAGAATGGTGATAATCTTTCTTCATGTGTCTGTTAGAACTATAAGGATGGTTATCCAGTATACTTCATATTATCAGTGTGTAATCTTTGCTTCACATTTATGTTATTACTATGAGAATTGAATTGTGGTATGCTTTCATGTCTGTTATAGCTATAAGAATGGTGATCCAGTGTGATTCTCATTATCAATGGTGATACTCTTTGCTTCACATGTCTGATACAATGGAATCTGTCAACTCCTGTAAACCTGTTTTCTCCATAATCCAGACTACTCTCTGAGTCCTGGCAAAATTGTTCTTAATTTATCATTAAAGCTTGCTTTATTATCCGGGCTCTCTCCATTATGGATAACAGACTAAAATAACAGTCGCAACAATGAACTTGCTTTGAGAACAATGCTTTGTAATGTGGACATAGCTCACTAAAATAAGAGTCAGCTGAATAATGGATAACAGACTAAAATAACAGTCGCAACAATGAACTTGCTTTGAGAACAATGCTTTGTAATGTGGACATAGCTCACTAAAATAAGAGTCGGCTGAATAATGGATAACAGACTAAAATAACAGTCGCAACAATGAACTTGCTTTGAGAACAATGCTTTGTAAAGCGGACGTAGCTCACTAAAATAAGAGTCGGCTGAATAAACATCTCTGCTACTTTTGTTCTCAATGGTTAATTAATTCCCTCTCCGTGACATGAATAGCCAATCAGAAGGCTTGGATGAATACTGCTGTATTCACTGATTGGCTGGAGCAAGTAAACAGATAGATGAGATGACCACGTCGGAAGATATTAATGCTTTTTTGCCAGCGAACACAACATCTGCCTGGCAACCTAATATTAGATCAAGGGATCATCCGTGCCTTCAAAGCTCGATATAGAAAGCATATGCTTAAGTCATTGCTATCGAGGATCGAGGACAGTGAAAATGACGGTGAACTGTGCAAGACTCTGACTGCATTGGATGTAATCCGTTGGATTAACATTGCCTGGCAGGAGGCGACAGATTCAACAATTCCTAAGTGCTTTCAGAAATGTGGATTTCCTACTGCCCAAGAAACTGAAGACGATGATGAAGAAGACAATCTACGGTAATGGACAAATGTTGACAAATGAGGACTGCTTTATAATCCAGACAAATGAGTCGTTCGACGCCCCAGGCCTGTCCGTAATAGACAGATTCCATTGTATAACTAAAGAAGGGAGATGGGAGATGCTTCACATCTGTTTGCAACAGTAGTGCCGGTTAAAACTATGGTAATAAGTTAAAATGTATATTCATTGTGCAGGTCGGGTCTCAGGCTGTGCCAAGGGCAAGGGTGGTTCTATGCACATGTCGGCCACAACTTCTATGGTGGGAACGGCATTGTAGGAGCTCAGGTTTGTTTCATCAGTATTGTCTTGGAAACAACAGTCAGTATCAGTTTCAAATGTTTATATAGATATCTGACTCTGTCAAAAAGCAACCTGGTCGCTTTAAGGTGTGTGTGTGTGTGTTGGGTGGGTGGTGTACATTTTCATAAATAAGATGTTCTCATATCTTTGTTTAGCCATAGAGATCTTTGTTTAGCTGTAGATATCTTTGTTTAGCAACAAGCACTACAATCTGATTTTTATACGATTGATGTACATTTGTGGCTAAGAACCTATGATAAGGAGAAGTATATAATGAATAAATTATTGATATTATACCTACATGTTTCTACATCTGTACTCCACCATGACCTGCGAACCCTCTGTAACCTACAGGTACCCCTTGGGGCTGGTATAGCGTTTGCTTCCAAGTACCGTGGTGACAACACTGTCTGTGTGGCTCTGTATGGAGACGGTGCTGCCAATCAAGGCCAGCTGTTCGAGACCTTCAATATAGCCAAGTTGTGGAATCTGCCCTGCATCTTTGTGTGTGAGAACAATGGCTATGGTATGGGCACCAGTGTGGACAGGGCTTCGGCCAGCACTGCATACTACACACGCGGAGACTATGTGCCAGGATTATGGGTGAGTTGATTTGTATATCACAAAAACAAGTCATATTTGTTCAATACCACTATGGTTTCATAGTTTTTTAATGTTCTAATGAAAAAGCTTTATGGAACTAGAGCTGTTTAGTGTGTTAAAAAAATGTTTGATTTCTGCAAATAGTTTTAAAACTTGTATTGGAATCATCACATGCTTTCTTTTTATTTTGAAATTTTGACCTCAATTGGATTTTTGCACCATAATCATACTCCTAAATTCTCTCAACATGCATGTCCTCCTTAATGTAAAGATCTTCTTAGAAACCATTTGTCATTCAGCGGAAACTTTACTTGCGTGTAACCACCAATGACAACAACTGAGTTTGTTCATGATTTTCGAACCTAATATTCAGTGTGGTTGTGGGCGCGGGGTAGCCATGGTCTTGGTCGTCCCATTCCGGGTTCGATTCCCACATGGGCACAATGACCATTTTGTACAAAATATAATCCTATTTAGTACCTGTGGTTGTCGCGACCATTCTGGCAGGGTCATCACAAAATATAGTTATTTAGTACCTGTGTAGTGAGGGTCATCACATAGTTATCTCTTTTGAAGATTTAGGATTGTTTGAACATATCCTTGAATTCTTTCAAGGTCTTTGTATGCTTCTTAAACTTTGCAGGGCGGTGGGATAGCCTAGTGGTTAAAGCGTTCACTCGTCACACCGAAGACCTGGGTTCAATTCCCCACATGGGTACAATGTGTGAAGCCCTTTCGGGTGTCTGGCGTCGTGTTACTGCTGGAATATTGCTAGAAGCGGCGTAAAACTGAATTCACTCACTTCTAAACTTTGCAACACTTGTAGGTAATGTGTAGATAGATGTAAGATCTGGGTGTAACACAGGGTAATCTGATGGTTGTATTATTCCTCTTGCAGATTGATGGTATGGATGTCCTGGCTATGAGGGAAGGAACAAGGTTTGCCAAGGATTATGCTTTGAAGAATGGCCCCATCCTGATTGAAGCCGTCACCTATAGATACAGCGGCCATAGTATGAGTGACCCTGGTACCAGGTACAGTCCTCAAGTCCCAAGCTAGGTTCATACACATTCAACAAATGTCTGTCAGAATTGGCAGTTTTCTTTCTGGTGATGTGTTTGGTGGCCGAGGGGTCCCTGCTGAAGTCTGAAATATTGAGCAGTGTTTAATGTTCTCTGCTGGACATTATGTCAAACCTAAATGTTATTTATGGAGGTCTATCATCAGAGTCCTTTCACTCAAGAAATGCACCCATGAAGATCCTGGTAAGAATTGATCTTCAGTAGCCCATGCAACAGGCGAATAACGGGTGACGATCGGGTGACCAGGCTTGGTTGACGCATTTCTTTGTATTTCGTAGATCGATGTTCATGCTGCTGTTGATCACTGGATTGTCTGGTCCAGACTTGATTATGTACAGACCGCTACCATATAGTTGGACTATTGCTGAGTGCAGCGTAAAACCAAACTCACTCTCTCTCTAACTTTAGAAATGCTACTAGTATGTTGCAAGGTTGATCAAGTGCTTGGGCATAAGACAATGGTATCTGTATCATGTTATTTCTGGTGTCCTCCGCCGTGATATTGCTGGAATATTGCTAAAAGCGGCGTAAAACTAAACTCAGTCTGTATTTGAGGGAGCCTGGTCAACTCAGTTGTGTAAGCCCCTGCAATTCTATATGCAGAGGTGCATCCCTTGGGTACACAAGAAACTCTTATGATTGTCGGTTCAAATTGTGTTTCGAGGTTTGTCAGCACCAAGGGTTTGACCAAAATTGTAAACATATAATGCCTGCATCTTTATTTGTTTTAATCCCACATCAAGTTGACATATGGTGATATTATTGGAATACTGATCGAAGTAACATTAAATCCAACACACTCACTCAATCACTGAAATGGTAGACTTAGAAGGAAACCAACTCAATGTCCTTGCAGCTACCGTGACCGATCAGAGATCCAGGAGGTGAGAGAGAAGAGAGATCCCATTACAAACTTCAGGGAGAGACTGTTGTCTTCAGGTCTTGCTACAGAGGAAGAACTCAAGGTAAAGCAGTGAAAAGGGGATGAGTTCAGCTACTGGGCTAACATTGTTCACCTGCATGTTTGTCACGACATATATTACTCAAATAAGTTAAAGAGCACCCAATATTAACAAATTACTGAAGTTAATCTGCTGTTGTTGGCGGGTGTAGGAACACTAAGCAATCCAATTGTGGATGTTCCCTCACTTATTTTGAGTAGCATATATACTTCCCATCAAAAGTTTAGACTCACTTAAAATACTCACTATATGTTATGTATAGAATAGAATAATACTTTAATGCCTTTTCAGGAATTTGTGTTACATCAGCAGAGCTACTGACACATTAGAGAGATACCAAGTGTATAGTGTAACTGCTACAATCTCCCTGAAGAGTAAAGAACGAAACATATTGGAGAAAAAGGCATTCTGTTTTTATTTATCTATGTAATATATATACATGTATATGGTTACATCGAAGATTGATTTCTCCACTAACTTGGGGGACCCAACTGCAAACTTTATACAGATGAATTGCATGTGGATCATGTGTCAAATTGCTGAAAAGCATGTGCAAATATCGTGCATGTGAACAGCTGTGTTTTGGTGTAAAGTTTTCTTAAGAATTCACCTATTTTCACTGATTTTTATCATTTATTAAACTCATGTCAATAATCTTTTAGTTTTCAACATTATGAATTTGTTTACAATACATCAGTTTATGTGTAAACAGTACTTTTAAATGGTATGGAATATATGCAAACTTTAGTTTAGAACAGTTACTCTAGTGAGTCTAAACTTTTGATGGGAAGTATTTATGGTTTGTTGTTTATATTCAGGTTTTGTTGCTGAGTTGTATTACTGAATCTATGTCAGATATGTGTTATTTGAAAGGCAACACTTCTAAATCTAATTCAAGAACAATCACAAAACATACAATATTTCTTTATTTGCCTTTGTCATTGTAAATGATACTATGTTATATATATGAGTATATATATGGCCTGACAACTATAAGTATGTAATGAAGAAACCAATTCCTTGCCTTTTATTAAATAATTGTACAGGTTACTATAAAAATATAACAAACATACTTCACTTTTCTGTATCAAAAAGGAAAAATCATTGAATTGTCATGATACAACAAACATTGTTGGGATGTACAAATGTATATTTTGGCTTTCAAATGGTTATAGGTTTGTGATAAATTTGTTAACTGTTAAATATATTAAGTGAGGCCTAATTCTGCAATCTTGTTGTTGCAGAAAATGGACACTGAGGTGAGGAAGGAAGTAGAGTGCTTCACTTTTCTGCAGAGAAGGCCAAAAACATTGTTGGGATCAGGAACTTCCCTTTGAGGAGCTGTACAATAACATCTACGTGAGCCCCATCGAGGGCGTGAAGGTCCGTGGCTGTGACCCCACAATCATGGCCAACACCCGGTAGTAGGAATGTGGCCCTCATATGTCTATAGTGCTCACATGGTGCAGTGAGTCTCTCTCTGTTTGATATGCTGGAATTGTACATTGGGTGGATACTTGGCCCAACTACCCTGACATCTGACTCAGAGAGTCTCACTCCTAACAAGTTGCCTCACACCGGGGGATATAGGATTGATAGTGTGATCCAGGTAGTGACCTCGTAGTACTTGTTGGAGGTCTTACACCTGGGGATATAGGATCTGTGCTTCATTTTGTGACCTATTCAAAGTCTACAAAAGTGATGCCATGTGAAATAAATACTCACTGGAACAACAAACTGGATATATGTTTGGACTGTTGCCATGGTTATTGTAGTAGATGTGTTTCTGTTGGAGAATCTGAAGATGTAGCTGGTAGTGTTCGGGGATGGAAGTGTGACTTAGAAGGAGGCAAGGATCAGATTGTCCTGTGTGAAGGCCTTGATGAGAGGATAGATTAATTATATCTACTGGCATGGGTGGGTGGATGAGTTGGTCATATGGGGTTATGGATGGGGATATTTGGGGTTAAAGGTGGTTAAGGATGTATCATTGGGATGGTACATGGGTGTAATTCAAAGCAATGACAATGTGACTGGGATAGACTGGAATTTATATCAGGAATATTTTAGGGGATACTAATTGGCACCATATGATGTAATTTACTTTGTAAACAATATGAATTGTTGTGTCATTGTTTTGAAATCTGATGCATTAGTAGTGCTATTTCTGACGTACACAAGAGAACCTAATTCTGTATTACAGGACTAACACCTGCTACCCTTTACTAACACTTGTACCATGGCACAAGTAATATGACCAGTGAAGACAGATCTGCTGTGTATGTCTATATCTGCGGATGGTGACTAACATCGCAAGAAGCCATGTGCTCACCTGTCACTGTGTTGATAGGAGTGGTCTGTTTCTGTCTGGAGACTCATCAGACAACTACTAGCAACACTAAGTATTAGGATTCTGTATAAGATAACTACCACTGTGTATGTGTTGCAGAAGTTTCAAATAAAATATTTATTATGTGTTTTCTGGTTTTACATGTTACTTCCTCAGTTCCATTTACTTTTAGCCACATATATACCACTATGTTACAGACTAAAACACCACATATATACCACCATGTTACAGACTAAAACACCACATATATACCACCATGTTACAGACTAATGTACCACATGTATACCACCATGTTACAGACTAAAATACCACATATATACCACCATGTTACAGACTAATTTACCACATATATACCACCATGTTACAGACTAAAATACCACATATATACCACCATGTTACAGACTAAAATACCACATATATACCACCATGTTACAGACTAATGTACCACATATATACCACCATGTTACAGACTAAAACACCACATATATACCACATATATACCACCATGTGTTACAGACTAATATACCACATATATATATACCACCATGTTACAGACTAAAACACCACATATATACCACCATGTTGCACTACTAAAATACCATATATACCACCATGTTACAGATGTAAGACTAAAACCACATATATACCACCATGTTACAGACTAAAACACCACATATATACCACCATGTTACAGACTATACCCACCATGTTACAGACAAATATACCACATACCACCATGTTACAGACTAAAACACCACATATATACCACCATGTTACAGACTAAAACACCACATATATACCACCATGTTACAGACACCATAATTACACCATGTTACAGACTAATGTACCACATATATACCACCATGTTACAGTTAGACTAAAACACACACATATATACCACCATGTTACAGACTAAAACACCACATATATACCACCATGTTACAGACTAAAACACCACATATATACCACCATGTTACAGACTAAAACACCACATATATACCACCATGTTACAGACTAAAACCACATATATACCATGTTACAGTTACTAATGTACCTACATATATACCACCATGTTACAGTTAGACTAATACACCACATATATACCACCATGTTACAGACTAAAACACCACATATATACCACCATGTTACAGACTAAAACACCACATATATACCACCATGTTACAGACTAAAATACCACATATATACCACCATGTTACAGACTAATGTACCACATATATACCACCATGTTACAGACTAATGTACCACATGTTACATAATGTACCACACCACCATGTTACAGACTAAAACACCACATATGTACCACCATGTTACAGACTAAAATTACCACATATATACCACCATGTTACAGACTAAAACACCACATATATACCACCATGTTACAGACTAAAACCACATATATACCACATATATAAAACACCACACCATGTTACTAAAACACCACATATATACCACCATGTTACAGACTAATACCACATATATACCACCATGTTACAGACTAAAACACCACATATATACCACCATGTTACAGACTAAAACACCACATATATACCACCATGTTACAGACTACCCACATATATTACAGTTACAGACTAATGTACATATATACCACCATGTTACAGACTAAAACACCACATATATACCACCATGTTACAGACTAAAACACCACATATATACCACCATATAAAACACCATGTATACCACCATGTTACAGACTAAAACACCACATATATACCACCATGTTACAGACTAAAATACCACATATATACCACCATGTTACAGACTAAAACACCACATATATACCACCATGTTACAGACTAAAACACCACATATATACCACCATGTTACAGACTAAAACACCACATATATACCACCATGTTACAGACTAATGTACCACCATATTACAGACTAATGTACCACATATATACCACCATGTTACAGTAAGACTAAAACACCACATATATACCACCATGTTACAGACTAAAACACCACATGTATACCACCATGTTACACCATGTTACAGACTAAAACACCACATATATACCACCATGTTACAGACTAACACCTACATATACCACCATGTTACCATGTTAGACTAAAACACCACATATATACCACTATGTTACAGACTAAAACACCACATATATACCACCATATTACATATACCACCATGTTACAGACTAATGTACCACATATATACCACCATGTTACAGACTAAAACACCACATATATACCACCATGTTACAGACTAAAACACCACATATATACCACCATGTTACAGACTAAAACACCACATATATACCACCATGTTACAGACATATATACCACCATGTTACAGACTAATGTACCACATATATACCACCATGTTACAGACTAAAACACCACATGTATACCACCATGTTACAGACTAAAATACCACATATATACCACCATGTTACAGACTAATATACCACATATATACCACCATGTTACAGACTAATGTACCACATATATACCACCATGTTACAGACTAATGTTATACCACCATGTTACAGACTAAAACACCACATATATACCACCATGTTACAGACTAAAACACCACATATATACCACCATGTTACAGACTAAAATACCACATGTTACAGACTAATATACATACCACCATACCACCATGTTACAGACTAATATACCACAAATATACCACCATGTTACAGACTAATGTACCACCATGTTACAGACTAAAACCACATATATACCACCATGTTACAGAATAAAATACAGACAGACTAAAACACCACATATATACCACCATGTTACAGACTAAATACCACATATATACCACCATGTTTACAGACTAAAACACCACATATATACCACCATGTTACAGACTAAAATACCACATATATACCACATATATACCACCATGTTACAGACTAAAACACCACATATATACCACCATGTTACAGACTAAAACACCACATATATACCACCATGTTACAGACTAAAATACCACATATATACCACCATGTTACAGACTAATGTACCACATATATACCACCATGTTACAGACTAAAACTACCACATATATACCACCATGTTACAGACTAATGTACCACATATATACCACCATGTTACAGACTAAAACACCACATGTTACAGGACTATACCACCATGTTACAGACTAAAAACACCACATATATACCACCATGTTACAGACTGTTACAGACTAATATACCACACATATATATACCACCATGTTACAGACTAATGTACCACATATATACCACCATGTTACAGACTAAAAAACACCACATATATACCACCATGTTACAGACTAAAACACCACATATATACCACCATGTTACAGACTAAAACACCACATATATACCACCATGTTACAGTTACAGACTAAAACCACAGACTAAAACACCACATATATACCACTATGTTACAGACTAATATACCACCATGTTACAGACTAAAACACCACATATATACCACCATGTTACAGACTAAAATACCACATATATACCACCATGTTACAGACTAAAATACCACATATATACCACCATGTTACAGACTAAAACCACATGTATAAAATACCACATATATACCACCATGTTACAGACTAAAACCATGTACCACATATATACCACCATGTTACAGACTAAAACACCACATATATACCACCATGTTACAGACTAAAATACCACATATATACCACCATGTTACAGACTAAAATACCACATATATACCACCATGTTACAGACTAATATACCACATATATACCACCATGTTACAGACTAAAACACCACATATATACCACCATGTTACAGACTAAAATACCACATATATACCACCATGTTACAGACTAAAACCACATATATACCACCATGTTACAGACTAAAACACCACATATATACCACCATGTTACAGACTAAAATACCACATGTATACCACCATGTTACAGACTAAAATACCACATATATACCACCATGTTACAGACTAAAATACAACATATATACCACCATGTTACAGACTAAAATACCACATATATACCACCATGTTACAGACTAAAATACCACATATATACCACCATGTTACAGACTAAAATACCACATATATACCACCATGTTACAGACTAAAATAAAAATACCACACATATAAACCACCATGTTACAGACTAAAATACCACATATATACCACCATGTTACAGACTAAAATACCACATATATACCACCATGTTACAGACTAAAATACCACATATATACCACCATGTTACAGACTAAAATACCACATATATACCACCATGTTACAGACTAAAAAACCACATATATACCACCATGTTACAGACTAAAATACCACATATATACCACCATGTTACAGACTAAAATACCACATATATACCACCATGTTACAGACTAAAATACCACATATATACCACCATGTTACAGACTAAAATACCACATATATACCACCATGTTACAGACTAAAACACAACATGTATACCACCATGTTAGAGACTTAAAAACACCATATATAACCACCATGTTACAGACTAAAACCAGATATATACCACCATGTTACAGTCTAAAATACCACATATATACCACCATGTTGCAGAATAAAAATACCACATATATACCACCATGTTACAGACTAATATACCACATATATACCACCATGTTACAGACTAAAATACCACATATATACCACCATGTTACAGACTAAAACACCACATATATACCACCATGTTACAGACTAAAATACCACATATATACCACCATGTTACAGACTAAAATACCACATATATACCACCATGTTACAGAGTAACATACCACATATAAATTACCCTGTTATAGACTAAAACAACATATATATACCAACATATTACAGACAAAAATACCACATATATACCCCCATGTTAGACTAAAAAACCACATATATATCACCATGTTACAGACTAAAATACCACATATATACCACCATGTTACAGACTAAAATACCACATATATACCACCATGTTACAGACTAAAATACCACATATATACCACCATGTTACAGACTAAAATACCACATATATACCACCATGTTACAGACTAAAATACCACATATATACCACCATGTTACAG